CCTGGACCTGGGCATGGGAAACATCAGTTTAATTGTCTCTGTCTTTGATCATTTTAAACCAGTTACCCCTCTGTAGTTTAGAATCCCGGAATGGTTTGGGTTGGGTGGGACCTTAGCGCTCATCTTAGTCCACCTCCTGCCCTTCCACCCTGCTCAGCCTGGCCTGGAACACTTCCAGGCATGGAGCAGCCACAGCTTCTCTAGGCAACCTATGCTAATGCCTTAGCACCTTCACAGGGAGGAATTTCACAGAATCCATCAGGTTGTAGAAGACCTCCAGGACCATCAAGTCCAACCTGTGACCCAGCACTACCTTGTCAGCTAGATCAGGGCACTGCGTGCCACATCCAGTCATTCCTTGAACACCTCCAGGGACGGTGACTCCACCACCTCCTTGGACAGCCCCTTCCAATGCCTGACCGCCTTTTCTTCCTAGTACAGCATCTAACCCTGTCCTCTGGCAGTGTGAATTCCAAGGTATTCCCCCAAGCCTTACCTTTGCCAGCAGCCACAGGAGCAGTGTCCAGCCCTGCCAGCATGCCCCGCAGCACTTGTGTCTTGACAGCATGGCTGGCCCAGAGCTGCTGCAGGTGTGTCACGTTGAAGGCCTGCACCTCTCTGTCGTAGAGCCACTGCAGGTTTGGGAACTCACAGTCGTACAGGACAAGGGGGAACTCCACAGCCATGCTGGGGACAAGGACAGCACATGGTACCAGAAACACAGCTCAAGAACAGGAGTCTGCCAAACCACCCCTGTCCCTCCCAGAACTCCCTTTCCCAACACAAGCTGACTGAATTTTCACCAGATACCAAGGACTAAAGCTATCAAAACCTTGAGAGCAAGAAAACAGAGATCTTTATGGATACATCCCAGCAGCCTGCTTCCATGCTGTGAGACTGTTCCATGTGCTGCAGGGACGTGGCTTGCCAGTGGCTCTTCGGGCACAGCCATCGCTCTGAGCCCAGGGCTTTCCTTGAGCAATCCCTACCTATACTGCGGCTTCCTGGGGTTCTTCTCCACATCCAGCAGCTCATCGATGATGTCAGGACTCTCCATGCCCTGGCCAATAAGGAAGAGGATGGCCATCATGCAGCGAACCTGGTGGTACAGGAACGCCTGTCCCGTCACCTCGAACTGGCACAGCCGGAAGGGATCCCCCGGCCCGATCCTCCTCCGCTCTCCACCCACGTCACCGCGGCGCTGAGGATGGTCCTCTGGAAGTTGACCACCCCGTTGGCCACGTCCATCTTGCAGAGGTTGCGGAAGTCGTGGGTGCCCACGTACCTCTGGGCCGCGGCGTGCATGAGGGCCACGTCCAGGCGGGCGCAGGGGAAGAAGTACCGGTAGGTCCTGCGGAGGCAGCTGAAGCGAGCGCTGAAGTCAGGCTCCACGGGGGCCCAGGCCAGCACACGGATGTCAGGGGGCAGCACCCTATTCAGGATGTGGGTGTAGCGCAGCTCCTCCTGCTCCCCCTCGCCCACATGGCCATTGAGCTGCTTCCCCTCTGGCAGGCTCGAGCGGAGGTCGAGGGAAATCACCTGCAGAAACAAGGCAGGATTAGAGCATGGTTGGAGCTAAGTCTTCCTACACCACTGGGGAATCAATCCAGGATCTCCTACAGATGAAGGTGGCTTCAATCAGGCGGTCCCACCCCGCCTTTCTGCGGGCAGAGCCACGAGTGCCTCTGCTGAGCATCTGAGCAGATGCCACAGATTCCTTTAATAACACAGGCAAAGTTGCAGGCTGCCTACGTGGCACAGTCTCGGAACAGTTTCAGCTTTAGTCACTGGGTTTGGGTTATAATGTGCTTTTTTTTTTCTTCGCCAAGCTGGAGGTGATGACTTGAAGGCAGTAACAGCCTGGCTGGCTGGGAAACCTGGTGTGGGAACAAGTGCATTCCCACCATGGTGCTGCATGCTGAAATGGCACAAGAGAAGGCACTAAGTGCCCTGATTTTGTGCTGCTCATGCTGCCAAGGACAGCGGAGCAACCATCCGAGGCCAAACCCACACCAGCTCTGCTTCCAGAGCCAGGAGGGAAGGAAGGAGACTGGCCTGATGGAGGACACACCATGGCTGTGCTCTCCTCAATGGCTCAGCCAGCGGGATGGCTCCATGCCCACCGAGCGGGCCGGCTCGCTCCCCTCCCTCTAGCTCCCACTCCCACGCTCCTTCCGCTGGCGGCAGCTCCCCTCAGACCCTTCTGTGCAGGAATTCAGCTGCCTGGCGCTGCAGGAAGTGAGCCAATTCTGGGGGATTTTGGGTTTTGGTGGGATTGGCAAGTTAAATTAGCTGAGAGGGCCCTGCCAAGGGGTATTGCCCCTTTTTGGGCAGTGCTAAGGAAGATGTAGTCTAAGACATGTTTTGACCTCCTAAAACAGGGCCCTGGAAAACAAATGGAACTAATATGGGGAAACAAATGGAAAACAAATGGAACTAATATGGGGAAGAATAGCACTAATAAATACCTCAATGGCTTGAAATCATCGTTCCACACGAGGAAGCCATTGCTAGGCTCACTTTCAGGGTTAAGAGCTGATGCTTTAGAAGAACAAATCGAAGCTGAGCTGTGGGACAGTAATCCCACTGGATCTCCATCCCACCCAGGAACCCCCCAGGAAGGCCCAGGTCAATGCTGACCTGCCCAAAGGCACTGACGCCCTTGTCCGTGCGCCCACAGCGGTGATAGTTGGAGGTCTGTCTGTCATCCACCAGACGTGTCTTCTTCAGGGCTTCAAATAGCTTCTCCTCAATGGTGTTGGGAGTGTTCTCCTGGCTGGCAAAGCCCTGGTAGTCCCAGCCCAGGTAGGCGATGCGCAGTGCCACGTGTCTGCGACCATAGGCGCTGAAGTCAAAGGGCCGTTGTTGGCGTTTCCTGCCCTTCCCGGGGGCTGGAGGAGCCTCTGTGCTCCCAGTGCTCCTCTTGTCCTCCTGGAGCTTCTCCTGTAGGCGCTTCACCTCCGCTTCCAGCTCTTGCACCCTCCTCAGGAGT